GCGCCGCCACACTTCCCAAGCGGCGCACTTATCCAGTGCGCCACCGGGCCGGCCCCCACCATTGTGTATTTTTGCCTCGACACGTCCACGCGTGCCTCTGCCAGTGCCTGGAAAACACTTGCCAGCTCCTTTGGCTGACTGCACTTTGTTCTCCAGGCCTGGCCCGCTTCCTGCTCCCGGGCAGCTGGCTCCCCCTGACCTTCTCTCAGCCATTGTCATGCTGCGTAGTGTTGTCAGCTCCTCGAGGGCAGAGACAGTGCCTGACTTGCCTTTGCACCCCCAGCCCCAGCAAGAGCTCCTAAAGGCTAAAGCGTGGCTCCCTAGACACAGGGTGGATGCCGCAGTTCTTTACATAACCTACCCAAACAGGAGAGTTGCATGCCCTATTGCTGATTATTTCTGGTACAGGAGGTCTCATATATTACTAAGTTTGACACTGATATTTAGAGAATTAGTGTTAGCACTTTCCTTTTTCCTTTTATTAGTCACTACTGTGTAGTGTAGAACCCTCAAGCTTTAAAGTCAGCTGTATAATGTTAGTTCCTGCATTCTTCCTTTTCTTTCTTCTAGCCCACATGTATCTGNACAGGAGGTCTCATATATTACTAAGTTTGACACTGATATTTAGAGAATTAGTGTTAGCACTCTCCTTTTTCCTTTTATTAGTCACTACTGTGTAGTGTAGAGCCCTCAAGCTTTAAAGCCAGCTGTATAATGTTAGTTCCTGCATTCTTCCTTTTCTTTCTTCTAGCCCACATGTATCTGTCTGTCACTTCTCTTCAAAAGTGGTTCAAATCAGAAAATTAGGTTTGGTCACCAGTTTTAAATCACCTTAAAGTACAATTTTTAGATACCAGTGGACACTTAAAAATACTATTTTATGGGATCACAATGAGATACAATAAAAATAATGCCCCATGAAACTATTCCCTAGACATAAAGTAAGAGATCAAAAATAACGGTTCTTGGGAGGACATGGTGGTGAGTCTGTTTCTTTATTACTCTAATTGTGCTTGTGACTAGGACCAAAGCAGGATGTCAAAGCTGCCAGAGACTTCATCCTGAAACTTTATCAAGATCAGAATCCTGACAAAGAGAAAGTCATCTATTCTCACTTCACATGTGCCACAGACACAGAGAACATCCGCTTCGTATTCGCTGCTGTCAAGGACACAATTCTACAACTAAACCTAAGGGAATTCAACCTAGTTTAAAAGCTGCTGCCCACTTCTCCCCCATAACAGAAGACATGATTTGCAAGCTCCTCTTGTTTTATTTGCAAGTGCTTCTGACATCACCTGAGCCAGCCCCCTGGGCCTGGCACCAAAGACATCAGGAAGACCATGGGGACAGAGATAGACAATGGAACCTGGAAGATATCTGAGTTTACCAAAGCATTTTAAAAGTCTGTTTTCTCAAATTGTTTTATAATTCTTTTCTTGACTTTTGGCTATAAGATTTTATGTAATTTTTGAATTTGATATTTTATAGAATTTTAAAAAGGCACTGTGATTTACTGTTTTTTTTTAAAATTAAGTTTTAATTATGTTTATAATAGCCATTAAAAATCATGTAACAGAGGGGAGCCAGTTAATTTATAGATCACACCTGGAGACCTTTAGGATTATTTCAGGTGACTTTTTAAAAATAATGATGTTAATGAGT